AAGGAAACACGCAAACAATAGCAGCAGCAGTAAAAGTAGCAGCAGTAGTAGCAATATAGCAGTAGTAGTAGTAGCAGCAGTAGTAGCAGTAGTAGCAGCATTAGTAGCAGTAGCATCAGTAGTATCAGTAGTATCAGCAGCAGCAGTAGTAGCAGTAATAGCAGTAGTGGCAGTAGTAGCAGCAGTAGCAGTATTAGCAGTGTAGCAGTAGTAGCAGTAGCAGTAGTAGCAGCAGCAGTAGTAGCAGTAGCAGTAGTAGCAGCAGCAGTAGCAGTAGCAGCAGCAGCAGTAGCAGTAGTAACACTAATAGCAGCAGCAGCAGTAGTAGCAGTAGTAGTAGTAGCAGTAGTAGAAGCAGTAGTAGCAGTAGTAGTAGTAGCAGTAGTAGCAGTAGTAGTAGCAGCAGTAGTAGTAGCAGCAGTAGAAGCAGTAGTAGCAGTAGCAGTAGTAGCAGTAGCAGTAGTAGCAGTAGCAGTAGTAGTAGCAGCAGTAGTAGCAGTAGTAGCAGTAGCAGTAGTAGCAGCAGTAGTAGCAGTAGTAGCAGCAGTGGTAGCAGTAGCAGTAGCAGTAGAAGCAGTAGTAGCAGTAGTAGTAGTAGTAGTAGTAGTAGTAGTAGCAGTAGTAGCAGCAGTAGTAGCAGTAGCAGTAGCAGTAGTAGCAGTAGCAGTAGCAGCAGTAGTAGCAGTAGTAGCCGTAGTAGCAGTAGTAGCAGTAATAGCAGAAGTAGCAGTAGTAGCAGCAGTAGTACTGGAGAGAGAGGGAGAAGGGGGGGGGGGGAGAAAGAGAGATTTATAAGAAATTTTAATAAACATGGAAACACGCAAACATTGTATAATAAAACTTTTCAAGAAAAACAAAAAAGAGGATAATAACAGTAGTAATAGCAGCAGTAGAAGCAGTAGTAATAGCAGCAGCAGTAGCAGTAGCAGCAGTAGTAGCAGTAGTAGCAGTAGGAGTAGTAGCAGTAGTAGCAGCAGTAGAGCAGTAGTAGCAGCAGTAGTAGCAGTAATAGCAGTAGTAGCAGTAGTAGTAGCAGTAGTAGCAGTAGCATTAGTAGTATCAGTAGTAGCAGCAGCAGCAGTAGTAGCAGTAGTAGCAGTAGTAGCAGTAGTAGCAGTGTGGCAGTAGTTAAAAAGTCTAACCAAAATGTTTCAGGATCTTCGCCAGTACTACGAAGTTCTTGCACTGCGATGAGATTCTTCGGACTCAGGCTTGAGTTAAAAGTAGAACGGAGCACCTATGGGTTACTACCCTTGTGCTGTGATGTTGATCCGTTGTTTAAACCTAAACCTCAATAATCAAAAATAATGTGCTGTGTATCCTTGCATGTAGCCAAAAAGGGCCAGAAAAAAGCCCATGCATGTGTGTGTGTGTGTGTGTGCATGTGTGTGTGTGTGTGTGTCATCATCATGTAGCAGGCCCTTTGCAGAACGTCACTCCTACAACTATCTGCCTGAAAGAAACTGGGTCTCTTGCCAGCTTTCCCGCCCGTGTACTTTCATATTCAAGGAGTCACTGATATCCCGTGCCCATCTTCGTGTTGGTCGGCTCCTGCCCCTCCTTCCTGGTACCATGACTTTTGGTATTATTTTTGTTCCAGTCCGCTATGGCGCTAGATGTGATTAAAATATTTCAGCTTCCGAGACAATATGCTGTTTATTAACCTGTCCTCCTTGATGCTGTCTTCCTTGTTGTTCAGATCTTCTAGTATGTCAGTATTTCTTCTCTTCTTTAGAGCTAGACATATTTTTTTAAAGACCATCGGAACTTGGTGGGTGATGTGCTCAGCATCACACCGGCCAACTTTACTTCCCAGGACTGCACCTGGTACCCAGTCAAGGCTGCGTCGTCCTGGGAGTCAAGATCATTTTTGAAAAATATCCAGCTTCACCAGGACGCGAACCCACGACCTTCCGATCCGCAACCGCCACGACAACTTACAACAAAGTATATATATGTATGTTAGCGCTGTACCGAATAGTGATTTTCGGCCGAATACGAATACGAATAGTGAATCATCATCATCCTGTGCTTTGCCGGCTGGCATAGGCGATTATGCCTCGCCACAATCCGCGATCTCCTGCAGCACGTATTAGTTCGTGTGCTGACACACCTCCATGAAAAACCTTCGTTCCATGTTGTTAGCATTAGGGCAGCTTTTTTTTTTCTCACTGAAGATATTTCCAGCTGTACTAAAGAGGAAAATACGACAAATACAGAGAGTCAAGATAAAAACCCGCAAGGCGAAACATCAAAAACAAAAATAACGCCGACGAAGAAAACAATGCCGTCCTCACAAGTCGCCCAGCCCCCCCTCCCACCGCAAGCTTAAGGAGTCAACGGAAACAAGATAGCGACATCAAAGACCACCGCGGCCACGGAGACGGAGCAGCCAACACCTGAAGATCAAATAACGAAGAAATCATTGCAGACGAAAAAACCAGACGCCGAGCGGCCAACACCAGAAGATCAAACAACAAAGACAACGAAGAAACCGAACGTCGATCAAAACATTCAGCCGCTGCCGTTTCAACGAGACGACGAAAGAACAGTTACGACACCCATAAATGATGACGAACTCCCGTTACTTCAAACAATCAACGAAGAGGATTCCACTCAAAGAAATCAAGCCGACAGCACTAGAACACTTGCTTTTCTGCCTCTCTTACATTTTTAAGAGTTGCATTTTGTTTCTACAGCAACACACCTAAAAACACTATACTCGCAACACATACAAGATGGAAATAAAGGGGCACTTGGTACGCTCGTAGGTGGTGCACAAAGATAACGCTTGACAGTATAAACGAAGGTGGGAAATCTTGATGTTTTTTTTTTCCACCAGTCCAGAAACGGTTGTGAGGTAATTACTATTCGTATTCGGCCCGACCGCAACTATTCGGCCAAATACCGAATAGTTATTGGGTCCACTATTCGGCCCCGAAGCGAATACGAAGCGAATATTAGGTACAGCCCTTATACACACACACACACACACACACACACACAATACATATATATATATATATATATATATATATATATATATATACACACACATTGTTCTAAGGTGCCAGCGTGTCACAAAGGGCTCACAATCTATTCCTTCTTTCCGTTCATAGCATGAAAATTCCTCCACACCGGACAACAGGACACATCGTAACAGTGTCGTGATGTCCCCACACTGGTCAACAGGAAACATCGTAACAGTTTTTTGATGTCCCCACACTGGTCAACAGGACACATCGTAACAGTTTTGTGATGTCCTCACACTGGTCAACAGGACACATCGTAAAAGTTTTGTGATGTCCTCACACTGGTCAACAGGACACATCGTAACGGTTTTGTGATGTCCCCACACTGGTCAATAGGACACATCGTAACAGTTTTGTGATGTCCCCACACTGGTTAATAGGACACATCGTAACGGTTTTGTGATGTCCCCACACTGGTCAATAGGACACATCGTAACAGTTTTGTGATGTCCTCACACTGGTCAATAGGGCACATCGTAACAGTTTTGTGATGTCCTCACACTGGTCAACAGGAAACATCGTAACAGTTTTGTGATGTCCCCACACTGGCCAACAGGACACATCGTAACGGTTTTGTGATGTCCAGATTTAACACTGCCTTATGAATGCACGGTTGAACAGGGTTCCTGTGATTTGTACTTCTTTGATTCTCATCTTTGAGGTATTAATTCTACAGACTGCAGTCCTGGTGGGTAAAACCTATCCGATGCCATTACTTCAATATTATTATTGGAATTCAGTTTAGCACCCTTGGCTTCTCTCATCAACATCCTTCTTAGGGTTTCTCTTAGGCGTCATTGTTTCTTCAATCCTTTTATTTCTCATGATGGTGCATGTTTTTGATCTTCTGCTCTTTTTTTTTTTTTTTTTTTTTTTTTTTTTGTCAGAAAAGGAACAGTCTAACTTCATCTTCCCTGTCTTAAAGCTGTCGATGTTGAATGGTTGCCTTTACATTTCTCTTACTTCGTCATCTATCTTGAATTCATCCCATTTAATTTTCATCGTTTACTCCAGGCATTTGTTTTCGCATGCATTTAGGTTTCGTTTGTCTCTTTGGTGGTTCTTCAACTTTTACTGACAATTTTCAAAAGCTAAATAACATTAAAACTAAAGATACTAAGTTTGTTCTATATACATCAAAGTTTTAAAATATTTCTTAGGAATCTAGAAGCTGCTGATGCCAATACATGCCAAAACTGATTTCTTTGTGTTTCTTGGATATCAAGATGACTATCTCAGTGGATAAATTGTTCTGGTAATTTAATTACATTTGTTTCAAATGCTAAATCTGCTTGAATCTGTTATTCGTGTCTTCAATACATGTGTCTTTTATTAACTTATTTGTAACCCACTGTTAGTGCTATTTTGACCACACACACAAAAAAGTATGTTTTTCTTTGCATGTAATCGCTGACCTTATTTAGCGAACAATATAATCTATGAAATCGTGCTTTCTCAAGTGTTGCTTTTTCCAGCCAAGTAAATGCCGGTGTTTCCTAGATATTTTATTCGTCATTCAGTCAATACAATACCAAAGAACAGACGAGCACAAATACATTCATGTTTCACATGTTTCAACACCAAACCAATCACTGAAACCATCATCCCTCTCAGTGCACACTCTGGGTCTTGGCATTTGTTTTAATCATGTTTACCCTTTCTATTAGTATATTATAGGTTCAAATACTTTCACATAGTGATGTTGGGTGTCAGCTATCACATGTCTTCTTTACAGGGATGAGTTTTTTAAAAACGTTTTTTTTTTTTTTAAATACAAATTCTCTAAATTAAATCTCAGTGTATTTGATTTAAGCAGCTTCTTCCTGGTCGGAAATCTGCTTGTTTCTCTCTCGAGATTTTGTCAACTACAATAAATAAATAAAAAATTAACAAGCTAATAAGGCATGTTTTGCATTTAATTAGGTCACAATACACCACTATTTTAGTAAACTAGAATATGACAAAAAACTACTCATATTTTTTGCTATTTTCTTTCCTGAAACGGACACGATATATAAGCTTAATGAAATAAACAAGTAGTAGAATACCTAGTGTAGATAGCACCCCAGTAAGGAAGACCAATATGTAATCAGCAATTAACAATGTCATGGGTAACTTCTGACCGCTGTACCTCATGTATTCTCCCCCATAGCGCAACACGTGATCCAGCCAGAAGGCTCCTTCTTGCCTGGGGTTCTTGTACAACTGGCGGTATATTTCTGAGGCTGTGTTCAGCTTCGACTTCATCTTCTTATCGGACACCACTTGTTCTATAACATTAAATAAATCGTCAGCGGAAGCTTTGATGATATCTAGTCTAATGCAGTATCCTTTATCTTCCGCTCGATCAGCATTAAAATACTGATCATAGAACAGAGGAACACAGACGGTGGGAACTGCATGATAGAGAGCCTCGTAAAGACTGTTAGCTCCTGAGTGAGATATGAACACTCTGACGTTTTTGTGTCCTAGAAGATCGTTCACAGGTAACCAGGTTGACGTCAGAATCTTGTCTGGGTCTGGAGAGGTCATGTTGGCTCTCCAAATTGTGTTTACTGAAAGACGCCTTAGCGCTGAAATAATCTTTCTTTCCGCTATTTCGGGCAGGTTCATAACGAGGCTACCAAACGATAACACAGCCACACCAACTCCAGCTTTCTCAGACTTCTCCACAAAGGATTTGAAAGGTTCCTGTAACGGCTTGGATGGACTGACAGAAACACCGCCGATCAGTTTCAAGTTAGGCACAGTTGGTGCCGGATAGTCATTGATAGGATCAGACTGAACAATGTAGACTTCAGCTTGACTCATTAGTTCATTGGCAGCAGGAACATTGTGATCCGTAGGAAACATCTTCTTCATGTATCCCTTCTCATTAAACATGTGGAGGAACATAGGAGCCATTACCTTCATTACAACTAACATTTTTTCAAAGAGATTTGCTTTGTCTCGAATGTAAGGGAAGTTGTAGGCAAAAGCAACCGGGTTAAAGGGGACTTTCCATGTTACAGGATCGTACAATGTGGTTACAAAAGCGAAAGGGATTTTAAGTTTATAGGCAATAGCAACTCGTTCCTCTACATTCGGATACCCATCTAGTACAATGAGATCAGGGTGTAGACTTTCAATGTATTCTATGAAAGGCCCTTTCTTCATGACCTCATAGTAGAGTTTTGCGATAGTGTCCTGAAATCCTAGCAGCCATCCCCAGTCCGGATCCGTGCCAGTCACGATAGCTTGACTGAGTGTTGCCTCTAGATCAGAGATGACCATCTCTTCAGTCACATCCCAGAAGTTATTATAGCTGAAACTGGTGACCCCTTGATAACTCTCGTTCCTTTTGATAAGAGTCGAAGGAAAGCCTACCCAGACGTTATGGCCCATCTTTGCCAGCTCTTGGGCTACAATGGCATGAAGTCTTGCATGACTTGTGGCTCCAACGGGTAAAAATACCACATTTTTACTTTCACTGGAACATACTGCTAAGATGAGAAACAGTGTGGCAATCCTGCAAGCGGCGCCTATTGTCATTGTTGATCTGAAAAGAGACATTGAGAAACTGATAATAAAATGCAGAATAATAATTTCGGAGAGAAAAACATAATACTATCTAGTTTCCATTCATCCATCTTTGATATCAAAGACCATTATCAGTTTTATTATTTGTTTATCTTGGACAGCTAAGTGAACAGGTTATGGAAAAAACTTCGAGTTATAGAACAGAAGCACCGTATGGTCCCAACAAATAGCAGTCATACATCATATATCAGATATCCCAGTTGCGTTAAAACAAAAGTGCTCTACAAATTGTTAGATTTGTTAATAGATTCGTAACCAATGCCCCCCCCCCCCCCTTCCCCCTTTTCCCCGTCAATTTTTCTCGACCAGGGCAGGCTACAGACTTGTATAGGCTTGATGTGTGTGTGTGATTAGCTACACTAAACATCGTGCAGAAAGCTCACATGGCATGCCATTATTATATTGGGCATATGGCAGACAGATATGTTAACAGGGGAAAAAATAGCACCTAGTCGGTGGCGTCAATCATTACGCCTGCCCCCTGACTTTCCTGGACACTTCTGGTGCCCATGTTAATCTGATTCCTACTTGGCAATAACAAAAATTATATTCAATCTGCTATCGTGCGGGATTCGAACGCTAAACTTTCTTGGACTGGTAGTTGGTGTTGAGTCACTTAGATTCCACAGGATCACCGAAATGGGTAGTAATTAAAAACAGGTGTAATAATAAACACGCTTTAGTTCTTTATCTTCTGAAGCAACGACATCATTGGATTTCTACTCTTTTTTTTTTTTTTAAATATATTTCTGTAATTAAATTATTATTCATAATGCGTTTGTTTTGTGCGCTCGCCTTTAAATTCTTAACCGGCCATTGCATCTTATAATTTTATTATCCAGTGTATTAAAGAATTCTGATTGCAGTCTGAAATTCTTGTTTGTCTGTCATTACACAGACAGACATCTAAAAGTATAATGCAAGACTATAGAAAAGCACATACGTATACAATTACACCTACATTCATTGACTGTTTGGGGTCTTTCTAAAGCATCATAATAAGTTTATATCGTATACACAAGAAACATTTCAAACAAACTTTTCGTGTTGTGATTATAATAAAGAGGACACAAACAATATAGTGGACACATAATTGCCTGACATATTTAGCTATATCTCGTCAGCTTTATTATATTCTTTTTAATACTTCGGCATACAGCCAGTAATGAAACTCACACACTGAATCAACAAAGCTGAAACAATCAAATCTCATAGTGTGCTTAGTCTATTTCTACAACCGCCATCTTCCCTCGGAAGCTAAGATTAACTGCTTGAACCTTTGCACAAAAAGAAACAAGACTGTCCGTATTAATTGACATAGCTTCGGCTAATTTTAGTAAATGTCAGTTTTGTGTGTAATTAATAACCACGAAAGCTCACTCGCTACCAATCGCTTATCTGATGTCTAGCAGACGTCGTTCTGTGGAGGATCTAGTCGTCTCTAAAAAGGAGCTAAACGTTTATTGGTTTCTGAACCGGATGGAAGTGTGGCTGATGATATAATCGCTTTTTTTTTTATTGTTTTGTTTATTAACAGCTTCAAAATTTAAAACTTTTGATATCTGTGTGTTTCTGGAAAAAAAAATACTTTTTGAAGCTATCGCCTAGACATTGCACAGTGATATGTTTGTTGGATGACATCGACTACAAAAACCTGCTGGAGTTCCCTGTCGTTTTGCTCGACGTAGGGTTTAAGCCTAAGTTACAGAGCAATTGCCATGCACTTACAGAGATGTAGGTATACGCGAATATTATCAACACATCAGCGGTTTAGGCGCTAGTTTTCATGAATCAGACCTGGGTTAAATCCTCAATGTATGTATAAGCACATCCCAATGGCAGACGCAACTTTTTGTTTGTTTTAAAGCTCCAGCCTGGCTGTTGTAGGGGATCTAATATAATCTAACGGCTGAACGGGGTTTCTGGGACCTCTCCCCAGGTGATTCTCATCGCATGGTCACACTTTGTATCACCGGGTGTTTATGGCTAGGTGGATGTTCTGATGTGGTTGAATGTAACTAGCTTATCTTTCATACAATTATCAATAATTGTCTTGTCTGTAACAAAATCCTCATCTGCACTGTTGCTGGCGACTACACTAGCCACAAGGCACTAAAATCTCATCCTCATCTGCACTGTTGCTGGCTCCTGCACTAGCCACTAGGTACTAAAACCTCTGGTTCCAGAATTCTTCATTTGTGGAAAAATTGTGTTGTTGGAGAGCCCAGGTCACAACTTCATATATACTGCCCTTTAAATAAATAACTTGCATTATGGTAGAAGGCATCTACTGGTTTAACTCCATATCATCATGATACAATGACACCCTCGCAGATTCTGCTACACATGAACTGTATATACCCGTTTGCCATATAGTCTTGAAATATTTATGTCTCGAGAACAGTTTGAACACTGAACCACGAAGAATACACACGACGGCCCCGCTTAGGACTGAAGAATGCAAAGGTGGCATATTGCAATATGAAGCCACCACAGTCTCGGTCATGGCATGTGAGATGGTAGTTTCCTGTTCCCTTCTTCCTCGTCTTTTCTTCCCAGTCAGTTCCTAGATCGTTCTTGAATTTAATCAAACGCATTTTAATGAGGCTCTCAGAGAGGTATTAGTGGGGGAAATTTCTGCGACTTACTGGGAGCTGAACCTGGACCACAGTCTCGACAGACAAATGCACTAACCACTATGTTACCGTGGCTTAGTTCTTCTTCTTCTTTCGTTCGCTTCAAATAGATTATCTACACTGCAGTGTGGCTTAGTAAGATATTTAGGTAAATTCCTATGATGGTACGCAGTTTATTTGTAACATTAAAAAACACACGAACAGTACCTTTCTGCGCGGCTTTTAGCATGCTTATATTTTCCAATGTGAAGCATATTTTAAAGACCCGGTGATAATGTTCATGAATACACGCTGTGAAGGTGGTGGCCCTAGTGTATTGACATGTTTGATAAACCCTTCAGCGCAGATTTAAATATCAGAGAATCATTGTGATGGCGACATGGTTAACGTTAGAATCATAGGCGGCAATCAATGGGGGAAATAATTAATAAAGAATTTTTTTTTTCAGGAGTCAGATAACAGCGTTAGAACATTGGTTATTTAGCATGCCTGTCTGCTATCTGTTTTTTTTTTTAAATACATAAATAGTAGATACAAATAGTAGTATTCAAGAGAACCCTGTGTGCGAACTGAATTTCGTTATAGTTAGTATTTACCATCTTATTGTATTACCAAAAAATTCCTAATATCACCATTTAATCGCAGAGAAACTACGAAGGAAAGTCATAAATTATCAACGGTTTTAAAATAACTCTTATTACATTGTCCACACTGACTTCTGTCTTCGCTTATTATACTATTGTGGTAATTCTAGAAAAGTTCGATTTTAATTACGCCATTTGTATTCGTTCTGTTGCAGATAGATTATAGCTACCCCATTAGAAGATTACACCAAAGAGGACAACGAGTAGTGATCCGATTCCTCTGGTCAGAGGGTGTCAAAGGTTCAGGTATTCATCATATACTATCATCGCTAACGCACTAAGAGGGAGTAGGACAGCCATTAAGCTTCAATACAGACGACAACATTCAGTAAGTTCCAGAGATGGTTCTGGCCAATAGGCAAATTACAAGGAGAAGTCACTAAGTATGTCAAAAATGGCTGTGGGATGGCAGGAAGATGTAGTTGGTAGTTTCTAAATTCTGTCTCCTTCGTTAGGTGGCGCTAGGTGTCGAATGCGCATTCGCAACACAGAAACAAAATGGCGACTGTACTTACCGAGTGTACACTCAAAGAACAACGTGCTGTTGTGAGGTGTGGCATTTTTTTGGGAGAGGGGGGGGGGTGGGCAAAATGGCTCCCTGCAAAGGATATTCATAAAGAAATGCTTCCTGATTATGCTGACAAATGTTTATTCGTAAACCGGTGCATAGCTAGGTTAAAAAAATTCTCAAGGACGCTCTAAAATTGTTGATTAGGTCCGATCTTGTGGTCCTGTTAAGATTACAATAGACCCATCTGTGCAGCGGGCGGAAGAGATGATTAGAGCCGATGGGCGAGTAACGGTTGACTGTATCAACTGCAATAGGGTGTTCACAGGGTTCACCATACAAAAGAATGCATGATCGATTAAATTTAAGAAAGTGTGCTTAAGGTGGGTGCCCAGACAATTGACAGACGAACACAGCAGCCTGTCATTTGCAGCCGCTCTGTCGATAAGCAGATGAAGGAGAAGACATGCTGAATAGGATTGTTAC